TTACGGACAGGACCATGCCGAACAGAAAGTTTAGTTCTTTGCCAGTCCTTGCCGCGTGACTACCTCATTTTTGTATCGCATATACTACTTGATTGTTAATATTTCATTAAATAAAGACATTAGTTTCTTTTCACACGGAAGTTTGTGTTATATTTTCACCACATTTCCTACAACAGCAATAAAAATTAATATTTAGAACGGAGATATAAATAATTCAATTTATAATTTTTAATTTTGTTTTCAGTAAATACAATAAATTTCTGTTCCATTACGCATCTGCCAATCTACAGTCAGGTAAAGATATTCAATTTTATATCGTGATTCACACACATCATATTTACTGTTCAGAAAAGCATGAAATTGATAATTTGAAGTAAAAAATGCGATCGAGATGTCGAATCCCAATTATATACAAAAGTTTCAGACATTTACTAATTTCCGAATTAGTATAAAAAAATATCGATAAAATTCATTGAATTCTAATGTTATTAGCCAATCAAAGTTTTGTTTAATTTGATGCATTTTAATAAGTAATGATGTTGTTATTCAGGCTTTTAGGTTTTCATTTGTAGAATTGAAGAAATATAAGCATCACTATAATTACAGTTAAGTTTAAATAAATAGGAGAAAGATTTATTACTCTTTTCTTCAGTCCTCTCAATCTTCATTGAAAGAGATTTATTTCAAACAAATCGGGATATACCCGAGTGAGGTGTAACATCGATTACAATAGTAACTATAAAATTTGACATAATTAATGATTAAAAGCATTTAAATATTCTGAAATATACTTTGCTAAGTATATATTAATGCTTATTTAAAATGTTAATAAAAATTTGAAAATTTAGTCGTTTCTGTCTCTCAAGCGATATTTAGAAGAAACATCACTATAATGTAACTTGATATATAACTGTAATATAATAAATAACATATATTCAATTTTTTATGATAATACCAATATAAATGAATGAAATTTTGTAATACATGAATATAATGTAATTATATAACAACGTAAATATAATAGAGCGTTATTAATAGGGGTACACACAAGTAATGTCGTTTCTTGATACGATACAAAATTTTATTTTATACAGAATATTTTTCTTTGTCACTAGATGATAGTGTTTATAAAATTTGAAAAAAAGAACGACATTACATATGGATATCCCTAATATAATATATATTATGTGTATATATGTGTATATCATTCAATTATATAGATCTTTTCAAGAGTCGAGCAAATCATCGTAAAGCACAAGAAGCGCAAACGACGAGTCATCATTTCTAAAGAAATATGTCGTGGGTACCTCCAACTCTAACAAGCGTTTGCTCAACTACTCCAGTACTGTCATCCTGTCAACCATCCAATCTTATGTTTCTCACAATAGTTACTAATCTATTAGGTCATTCCAAAGACAATTCCTGTCCAAAATATAATACAGGTAAATATAAATGAAAATAATTCAATTATAATACAGGAAAATGTAAGACTAAAGAGTTGTGTAGCTAAAAATATGATATACGATAAATACCATCAATATGATCAGTTTTAATAATAAATTAACAGAAAAGACTCAATTATCTGATTTTCAAGAATGCCGGATTTCCACTTGTGGAACAATATTTCTTAACTTTAGAAGTCAAAATTTACAATAAAGAAGTGTTTCTTTCGGAAAACAGATGGAATAGAAGAATCAAAACTGCATATGGAGAACTTGATGCGTGCGAAGAAAACTTGACATAAAATTAAATTTAAACAATCTCGATTAAATTTTTCTTATATTTGCATTAAATGAAGGAGGTTGTCGTTTCAAAATAATCATTCATATTTTCTTAATAATTTTTAGATGAAACATTTATGGACATTTTGCTAAATGATATTTTTGTCATAATGGCAGAGTATGAATACCAAACCGGAACCAGAGACCGAATTGGTATTACAGATACCGGTAAAATACCGGTATTTTTAGGTTACTCGATTACGTTTGATGAAACTGAAATGGTGCGAATATCAGTATGATGCTATCAAAACGATGTTAGGTCGGTAGATGTATTTTGGTATAATACCGGTAAATAAAATATGAATATATTAGAAAAGGAAAAGGAGACAAATGTATTATTTCTAATACTAATTCATTGTTGTATCTCCATACAATATCAGCCACGATACTCTTACTTAATTTTAAAAGATGACTGATTTCTCGATACGTTTTTCCTTTTTCTCGGTGAAAAATGACTAATTGTCGTACGTCAATAAATCGAAAGAGGAGTTAAAACAACGCTTAATCGTAGAATAGAAGAATATTTCGCTAAATTGCTTAAAAAAAATTACTGGAAATATGCTAAGGCCTAAGCGTCTGCGATATATTATTGAAGTTAAGGGTTACCTAACAAAATATTAATTATTGTTTATGTTAACAATTTTTAAGTTCAAATATTGTAGTTCTTCAAATGTCCTTCAAATATTTTTGCCACGCTACATTTCGACATAGTTTAGTTAGTTGTTTGATACTAAGAAAAGTATGTGCAATAAATAAATAAAATTTATGTTACTATAAACTATAATGAATGTTCTATTATATTATTAAAAAATTAATCCGAAATTACTATTATAAACAATTGAAATCCACAACAATATTTTGAATAGCATGATGTCCGAATATTAATAAGAGTCACTTTACGTAGAAAATGAAAAATGTGTTTCCGTCAGTAAAACGGTACCGTGGCGGTATATATTTCGGTATTTTTATCGTTGTGGACATCAGATACCGATAAAATACGTATGAAAATACCAGCATGACCGTCTTATTCCGATATTAAAACCTATTTGCCAAATAACGGTTCTTAATTACGATAATATGGAAGTAACCTCACAATATTTCGGTTTCAGTCTCTGGGTATAATACCTAAACCTCAAAATATTTCGGTTTTCAGTCTCTGACCGGAACATTCTATACATTTAAATTGCAATTATTTCAAATTGAAAGGTGATATTCTCAATGTTCCAAAAGATGTATGAGAAGATTTGTTTCATTGAAACTGAAAAATATTAGTGGAACTAAAATATTGATCGTCAGAAGTACGTTTAGCAATAATATTTCTCTATTTCATATAAGCGTTGCTGCCAAACTGCTGTTACTGAACACTATAATTTTGATGAAATATTCTGGAAATTTCTCTTTGTTTTAAACAATTCGTCGTTAAATTTTGTAAATGAATATATTTTGCGGTGCAACAGTGTAATAGCTAGTGTAACATTCGGACTAAAACAGAATACTATACACTTTTACTGAATTCTATAAAACTTCTAACATGACATATGAGAATGATATATTTTAAATATGATATACTGATATAATTTAAGATAATTGCAAATATAACTACAAATGTTAGTATTTATAAACATATTTTCTCTATATAATTAAAATTATATCTATACAAAACGAATTTTCCAGAAGAGGAATACGATTTTATAATCGTGGGAGTTGGATCAGCCGGATGTGTTCTTGCAAACAGGTTGAGCGAAGTAAAACAATGGAAGGTATTTATAATTATTTTGTGTCATTACTAAATGCAGATGTCTGTCACTAGACGTACATTTTTAATATTTCTAAACAGTCGAAGGAAATGAAAGCTAGATAAAGCACAGTATATTTGTACAGATTACAATCTTATTGAGGATATTCAGAGGATATTTATATTCATATAAAATTGTATTCGTTGACAATATTTTATCTCCGGCGTTAGGTCACCCAAGAAGCGACTTCAATATGACAACTTATTGGTATTTTGATTCACATTTCACTTTATGTTTTATCTGGAATTTCTATTGAATCCACCAAATGAGATTACAGGTCAAATCGGTTTAGTCTGATCTTGATTTGAAACACATATGTATGGGTTATTAGACTTCCTGAAAGCTTTTTGCCTACTAAGAATCAAATCTTGAATGATCCTCGTTCACGAGTAAGGAATAATTTTGCTAGAAATGGGGAGTTCCGTTTTAGCTAACAACTGCATCCAAATGTTTAGAGTCAATAACAAAATTTACACATTGACAGTTTATGACAAACCTCTGAAATTTCATATATATCTTCAGATATTACTAATTGAAGCTGGCATTGAGGAACCAGAGGTAGCTGGAATTCCAGGTTTCGCCTATATGTTACCGAGAAGCAATATCGATTGGATTTATCACACACAACCGCAGCAATACGCTTGTCAATCCAACAAAGAGAAAGAGTGTGTGACCCCAAGGGGTAAAGTATGTATACATACATATAATTTGATACATTAAATTTCTAGAATTATATACGGGAAATTGAATTGTTATCAAGAACTAAAAGCAGGATAAAAATTCTTATTTGTTGGCATGTTATTTGTATAGTATACGTGCACATAGTGACCCACGGAAATACTCGTACACAGAAAGTTTTTTTATATATGTATAATATATACAGGGTAGGGCACTTAAAACAGGTCACCTGAATAACTTGCTTGTTTTCGGAGATAGAAGAAAATGCATCAGACCAAACTTATTTGGTATCGAGGAGCTCATAATCTGATACTAATTTTTTTATGGGTGGAAGCATCAAGGAAATATGGAGGTCAACTCTTGTTTTTTAAATAAAAACGATATAGTTCTTTATTACATTCTGATAGGAAATTCCAAGAAGAAATACAATGACCTATTATGAAGGTCATTCGAGGTCACTCAAGGTAAATTGCAAGAGAAAACACATTGTCTCAAAGCACTCTTCGAACATGTCTAAAACGTTGCACAGTCTAAAAAGTGAAGATCTATTACAATCGGGAAGTTTTCCACCATACACATGTACTGCTTCCCTCATAATTCTATAACATTTTCTCTGACGTCGCACTGAGAGAGTAATATTCAATCTTAGTATTCAGTTTTCCAAAATGCGTTACACGATAGCAGAGAAAGTGGAAGTAGTTCTGATTTATGAAGATGAATGTCATAGAACTATAAGGGGAAAAAATCAGTAACATCATATTATGAGCCCCCCGATACCAAATAAGTTTGGTCGGATGCATTTTTTTCTATCTCCGAAAACAAGCGACTTATTAAGGTGATCTGTTTCAAGTGCCCCACTCTGTATATAGGGTGATACATTTTAGTGAGTCTACTTAAATATCTGCAGAAATACAAACAAGTATTAAAAAGACAAAAATTTCACCCGTACCATTTACTTATACATCGGGATCTTCACGGAACAGATTTTTATGTTCGCATGCATCCTACGCAGTGGGATTTTCAGTAATATAAGATTGACCAACCATTCTTTAAAAGAAAAACTTAAATTTTAGTACATCGATGTTAATCAATTATTGATCTTTTGGTTCATGTTAGGCGAAAAATATGTTTTGCATCATCATAATTCAAGTGGCCTCACTTAAATGAATATCCTATACATATAATATTTCTATACTAATACAAAATATTTCCAAATATCATTAATATAAAATTAATATATTATACTTTAAAATATTGTAATACAATGTATTATAGTAATATAATACAAGATTAATATAGCAGATACAACACGATTATTATAGGTATACTTGTGAAATTTGCAACATATCTAGGAACCTATGTATATAGAACTTAGAAATATTGTATTTCTCCAATCTATAATTTAAAAAATATATAGCTTTAATGCTGATGTATTTGGTACTTGGGCCTTCTAAAGTTTATTATTAAACTTACAGGTCATGGGTGGTTCCAGTACTATCAATATGATGATGTACGTTCGTGGAAACTCAAGAGACTACGACGAATGGGCAGAAGCAGGAAATTGTGGCTGGAGCTACGAAGAAGTTTTACCATACTTTCTGAAATCAGAAAATAATTTGGATCCAGAGGTATCAAATTGTAAATTTATATCATTCAGTACCAAGAGACATCCAGGTAAAACTTTTATTTCCTCTAGGTAGTGAAAGAGAATCCACGTTACCATAGCCAAGGTGGTTACCAATCCGTAGAACGATTTCCGTACAACGACATCAACAACGATATCATACTGAAGGCATGGCAAGAACTTGGTTACGAACTCGTAGATGTCAACGCAAATAACCAATTAGGTGTGACGATTCTACAAACAACCTCCGCTAATGGAACACGTCAAAGCACTAACAAAGCGTTCATACAACCCATCAGATGCAGTCGCAAGAATCTAACGATTAAAACTGAATCATACGTTACGAAACTACTAATAGACAGCAAAACAAAACGTGTAACAGGCGTCGAATATACTTCAAGAAACAACCGAACTAAATTAAATACAGTTGTTGTTAAAAAAGAGGTGATTCTCTCAGCTGGATCCATTAATTCTCCAAAAATCCTTATGCTCTCTGGAATTGGTCCAGCAGAAGAATTAGAGAAATACGGTATTCAAGTAATTAGTAACTTATCGGTTGGAAGGAACCTTCAGGATCATGTAATGACGACTGGTCTTGTAATTGGACTAAATTTTATTTCCACGTATGAGAATATCTCTATGATGGAGGAAGACCTTTCTTATTATAGCGAGACACATAGGGGACCTTTATCTGCAGCTGGTATTGTCGGGTTCTGTGCCTTCGCACAAACATCCTATCAGCACGAAAACGGAGTACCAGATATACAATTTTTATTCCGTGGTTCCAGTCTAGAAGATTTTCTAAATGATCCAGTAGAAGCTTATGACACAAGTATCAGCCCACTCTCTTACTATAATTCTATTAACATTCTACCAATTTTGTTGTCGCCTAAAAGCAGGGGATTTATATTACTGAACGGTAGTGATCCTTGTGGGGAGCACCCTTAATTAATCCCAGGTTTTTCACCAGTAATCCAGATTTGGACGTGTTAACGGAAGGTGTGGAAATAGCTTTAAAATTGTTTGATACAAAATCGTTCAAAAAATACGACTTTAGATTGATTGATAAACCTTTACCTGGTTGTGAAGAGTTCGAATTTGGTGAGAGGGATTATTGGAAATGCGTGATCATGGAATATACAGGCACTATTTATCATCCGGTTGGAACTTGCAAGATGGGACCAAAGTCGGACCCTGAGGCTGTGGTGGATGAGAGACTGAAAATTTATGGAATCGATGGTTTGAGAGTTGTAGATGCCTCGATTATGCCAAAGATTGTTAGGGGAAATACGAATGCGCCTACTATTATGATCGCGGAGAAAGCTAGTGATATGATTAAGGAGGACTGGTTGTCTGACCATATTGGATCTGAATGATGTGGCGTGATGGATTGATGAGTCAAGAAAAGATTAACTGTGGAAATTAATTATCACAATTTATGCGCTGTAATAATAAAATAAATATTGAAATATTAAGTAATGTAATATAATCTAAAAATATACTGTATGTGTACACATTATGATATGGTGTAATATTTAAATGAATTATAATTTGTTTGCTCTCATTTTAAGATAGATGTTAATATTCAAAGTTAAATACGTACAATGAGAATCAATTGTTCTTCTCTTAAAAGTGAATCTATCCTTCAAACTTCAGAGTCTTCGCGTTTCTAAAAAGAAAAAGGTAAGTGTTTCATTTCTAAAACTCTTAAATTACTTCACCAAAAATAAGAAAATGTTCTAAATGTGCGATCTGAATTTGATACCCAGAGATCCCCCGGTTTACATTAAATTGTGGATTTCTATGCATTTGTAACAAATTTTAAAATGGAAAATTTCATAAAAAGATATATAAAAACTATAGAGATATCTATAAACGCGTATTTGCACATGAAAACTTAAAATAATATGAAAAATTATGTATAACTCAAAGTATAGCGCTTTCTACGGAACACTTTTTCATCGAGATTTTACTTTTTTAATTATATCTTCCAAAAAATTTGCATAGAAATCAGCAGTCTAGATATTAAAATCTGATAAAAATTCATGTTGTGAATTTCTGATGTTGTGATTACGTTTGTGAGGTACTTGTTGCCTGATAAATAACACCATGATCGTTTCGAATTGGCCTGTATCTGGAAATACAATACTTGCGAATGTTCACGGATAAATCGTTCAAAATGCAACTCTGTGGATGATGAATTAAAAGACAACGTTGTGTAAAAATAATTTGTTCACACGAATCGCTTGGAAAGTACATAATTACACGGACACTTGTCCCGTAGATTTCAAAGACTTTCATATGTCCTTATTCCTATTGTTTCTTTTTTTTCTTTTTCTCTTTTATTTTTCGTCGAAATCCGTAAATACATGGTACAAAGTGTGTGCGCACTTAATATGATAATTGATATTGACAATAAGTACAAATATAGTGTTTGGTCTTTCACACTCTTACAGTGTGTTGCACTCGAGTCAAACTAAATGTATTGTTCGAAAGGAAGACGTGAAAATCTGGTGAAGGTTTAAATTAATTTTCAAAATTTTCAGTTTCAATCTGATCCTCTCCCAAATTAATTTAATTAATTCTGATCCTTGAAAGATACTAGTGAATAACATAACGAAATACATATACACATGTACAGGAACGAACTTGTTCGGAAAAATTGTGAAATTTGCGGTGTATTTATATTATCACTTCAGTCATGAATCTATAAACTGATAATCCTATATTCGATCTGTAATTATACCTCCGTCCTTAGTTACCCAGTTGTTGCAAGGAAGTGCCAATTGCAAAACATTAAAAACAACAGGATTCATTTTCTCGAATCTGATCAAATCTGACATCTGTCGTTAGAAATTGAATGTAAATAATACAAAGGAGTCGAATTGCCAATGAAAACTCGCACGCACGACACCGAAACTGTGGAAATGGGGGTTAAAGTAGAAATCTCCAAAGAGGTTCTTCTTTTTAAAAACCACATATGACGTAACTGTTCTAATTGTTCCGTCCGGAAACGCAAGATGTTCGTTCATAAAGCAGATTTTTGTGCACTTGAAGGTGTAATGATCTACTCCGATCTATTGACATAGGCGTAGATTGGCGCAGAGGAGAAATTGAAATAACAGCTCTCTGACCGATAATAACAATAATAGATTTTAGATTTTAATTTCGGTTTTTCTAAAGTGAGACAATTCAGATATAAAAATCATTAGCTTATACGTTTTCGCGCATCTTTACCTTCAAGTATTCCACAAATGCATAAAAATCCACAGTTTGTATGTAGTAGCTATTTTTGAGTTGAAATCTCGAAAATCGTTTTACAATTTCGATTTCTTCCAGTGGTCAACATTCACCGAGAGCAATTTGGACGTACGTATAACAGTGCAGATATCGATTGTCTCGCACTTGGAAAGAAAATGGAACGTCTCGCGTTGCGATACACAGAGTGACTTTTCTCTTTACTGAGAAAATCAAGGTTCTGACAAGTAAAGTCAGACAAACGTCCATTGTCCTGAGTGTATCGAGCTAAAATCTGGCAAATACGAATGAGACATGCTTTTGACACGTCTAAATAAGCAACATACAATCTTCAACACGTTCACGGATGTGAATGCTATAGCATTCATTTTCGTGGTGACGCAATATAACATGAGTTTGAACTGTATCGACGTGGATCCCACAGCATTCATTGTATACAGCTGTTAAAATATGATATTCTGGGTATTCGGACGAAATGTGACTAATAAAAATTTATATATCACAATTAGTTTAAAAGTAAATCACCTGTCCTTTTTCGCAGCTCGATAAAATTTTTAGTGTCTGCGAACATTGATATACACATATGTCTCGATCATTGCATCAATTCAATGTGCTTATAAGCGATAGACTGAATTTTTATGCATTTGTGGAAAATTTGGCATATTTAACAAGAGGAAATCTCTGTCTTTCTTCTTCTTCTTTTTATTTTTCTTTCTAATTATCGTCGAATTTTTAAAATCTAAATTTATATAAAAATTCGCAGTCCAGTGATTAAAGTTGAATGTCGTTAAATCTATATATCGACTGATTTAATTCAGTTCGTCTTTACACTCTTCGTGGCTAAATAACAGTTAGATAGCTATGTTATCACGTTCGTGTTTAAATTTTGGAAAAATTGATAACAGACGTATTTGTACGCCGTTGTTTCAACGTTTCGTATCAAAAGAGAGGGAGCGCACTTTCGATAAGCATGGCTACACGAACTCGTGCATTTGATAGGACTTCCACTCAAGTTCTCGAAGGGATCTGAAAAACACATGTATGATTAATTGAAATATATATAAAAAGAAAAATAAAAGAAATTAAAAAAAGTAAAAAACTGGAACGATTACAAGCGTGTTAAGGATTCTAGAGAATATATATTTAAAGTCTAGAATTGTAGCTGTAATCTACCACTGAAATTTGAGAAAAGTTTAGAATCAAAGATTAAAATTTAAAATTATAGTTTAGTCAGATTATAGTTTAGATTGACTCTAACTACGAAATTATAATCAAAGTCGAAATTTAGAGTTAGATCTGGAGTTTAGAGTCGGAGATCAGAGTTTAAAAATATAATTGTAGTCTTGAGTTGGAGATTTAGAATTTGAAATTAGAATAGTCAGAGCGCAAAGTTGGAACATTGGAATTAAACTCGAAATCTCAGGCTTGAAGATCAAAAATCGCAGCTAGAATTTGGAGTTTAAAGTTGGAGTTTTTATCTCGTTCTTACGTCCTCGCAATCTGCATGAAATTTCGAGGCCCACACGTGAAAACACACGCATCGGGCTGACTTTTTCCAACTAAGTTGTTTAATAATCCTTCAGACACCATGCCACGTTTGCCTGTCCACGTGCTTTTGGGTTGCGAAAGAATATGGATAACTTTTAATCTGAAACACATTGTGAAATATCGCGTTATATAATATCTCATAATATTCAGAGAGACAATTGTACTCACTTCTCTCCACTGACTCTCTCCAATTGCTTCACGTAGAACATACTCTCTTCGTTTGTGTTGAAATTGAGTAAATTTATTAATCTCCTGCGGGATTACATAAATTACTAAGATCAGAAATTACTTGGAAATTTCATCCAGATGAAAATTAAAAGATGTAAATTCATGCGATTCATCGAAATACACAAGAAACGGGAACTAACTTTTTAATTTGAACTTAAATTTAAAACACAACAGATCTATACGAAAATATATATCATAATTCAAGAAGCCAGAAAAAGAACTTGTTCATGTCAAATAAAAATTAAGATTTTTGACATAGTAGTGTGAAGAACTCGAGGAAACCTAACGAATTACAATGTAACGAAATTCAGAAAAATTTAGAGACAAACGATTAAATTCTAATAAGTTTTTCTGGTTGTATTAAAAAAGATAGATACTTTAGAAAAAAAATGATGGAAATACTGACACGCTGCGTCTGGCCATAGCTCGTTCAATGATACTAAGCATCGGTGTTAAACCTGTGCCACCAGCAAGCATGTGAATGACAGAATAACGATCATAGGTTCCCATTACGAAGGAACCCATAGAATTGCTCAAGTATAGGGTCTGGTCAACTTTAAGAGCTGTTAAGAACCGACTGAGAAGGCCATTTGGATACTTCTTGATCATGAGACATAGGCAATTTGGTGTGTAATTTGGCGGCTTGTCGTCATCATGAAGGTACGGTGGGACAGGGGTGTACGGGCGCTGTATGTTCTTGTCTAAAACCAATACCAAAGTTATTTTTGACTGATGACCTCCTTTTTAATAAATCTAAAAATTAATTCAATAAATCTAGAAAGGCTGTATTATGGTTTGTATTGTGGTCCGGTAAATTTAATATAAATATAAAAAATTGATTTTTGTAGAGTTAATCGTGAATGTCAGTGTAACAGGACTTACACGTTAATCAAACACTAAATCAAATTAATTTACTGCATCAAGAGTAGAAGAAGAAAATAATGTTCAGATTAAAATTGTTGTTTGTGTTCACCGCATGAAGAAATTATCACTGGAGAAAAGCAAACTTATTAAGGATTATTATTTTTGGAAAAATTATATTGAACAACGAAAGTTGTATGTCTTCATCAAAAGATATCTCGAATTAATCGTACAGAGATAATGTCACGCACAACTATGAGTATGAATAAAAAGAGAGTGATTTAAATAACAAATGAAAGACACCTTCGCAACTTCATCAATTTTTTATATTTTTCAAATTTATCGGTCAGTGAACTATGAATTAGAAATGAGCAGATTTTATTGACAGAAAGAGAAAAAAAAAACTTATGTATTCACTTATGTCTGCCTCTTTGACCATTACGTGTCTGCCAATAGGTACAATTTGCAAGTGATCTTTCGCTTGAACGATTAACAGATGTACTTGATTCGAAAGTGGTTCATTCGCAATTACTCGGTATTCTCTGTATATTTTAAGACGCCCCGAGATGTTAACGTCACTCCCGGACGTTATTTGATGACCCAAATTCATCCACGGCCTTCTTTCCCGCTTTGCACACGTAAACTCCACCTACATTGCGCAAAAGTAAAGATTAATTGATAATAATCTTGATATTAATACGTATAATATTAACACGTTGACTGATCATTGACAATTGAAGTATCCATGGCAGAGACTGAAAACCGAAATATTGTAGGTTTAGGTATTATACCGGTAAACTGAAACCGAAATATTGTGACTGCATTGATTTTCCTAATTTATAGCGGTGTAGCAGGGTTTTCTCTCCACGTGTGTTCCAAACGTAGGTCTGAGTGGGCCCTTGGAAACCTACGACGCTTCGCGGAAATGCTATTGTGGCCGAGTTACTAAAAACTTTAAGTGCAGATGTCTGGTCTTTATGCACTGTAAGAAATAAACTTGGCCTTCACAATTCAATAGCATAGGCGACACTTGAGTCGTAAATTCTCCTAACTGCATGTCTGAGAAAACGACTTTCTCCGACATCCGCTAATATAAATAAAATAAAATAAAAAAACTAATAAAAAAACTAATAAAAATAAATAAAGTGTACGTGTATAAACGTCGTCAAATTTACTATACAGCTTTATGAAAACATTTAATCATTGTCTCCTTTTCNTCCTTTTCTAATATATTACTATTTTATTTACCGGTATTATATCGGATTCATACCGGTATTGTACCGGATTCATACCGGTATTATACCGAAACACATCTACCTACTTAACATCGTTATACCGGTATTCGCAATATTTCGGTTTCATCAAACCGGTACCGAATAGTAACCTAAAAATACCGGTATTTTTCCGGTATCCGTAATACCGATTCGGTCCCTGATCCATGCAATGCAAATATTTCGAAACTATAACGATCAATTTATTTTATTAAAATTATTAAATTTATTTTATTAAAATTATCATTTTGAATTAACACAAAATAATTTCGTATCAATGATAAATTACATTATATATGTATATATATATATATATATATATATATATATATATATATATATATATATATATATATTACAATGTAGTAATTTATTCAACGTAATATTAAAATTTATTGATTCAATTTCAATAATGTTTAATATATTTTATATTTTATATATGTTACAATAATACAACACAAAATGGAATGATATAAGAATAATATCGAAATTTTGAATTGACACTATGGATACTATAACACGAGAAGTTCGTTGCACTTTCATTTTACAAAAATTAAATATTAGTATAGATAAAACGTATAAATTTCACCTGAATTTTGAAGTCAACATGTTAAATAGAATCTCTTCTTATTATTTACCTTCAACGTTTCAAGATTTCTGTTGTATATTGGTGGCCATTCTATTTCGGATCTTAAGTGCAGCTCATGCTTTATTATTTCATCCTCGAAAATTATTTTAAACAAAAGCCTCGAATTGGTTATCAGAGTCAATTCATAACCCAGGCATCGACGGCTATATATCGATTTACAAGAGAATATGACCGTATCTATTGTTTGTCTCCAATCCATTTTTATACTCGATAAATCACCGTCCGACGTGCTTTCTAGCGCTATGAGCTGAAACATCAATACATTTCTAATAATCCGAAAACACAATTGAAGTCTTTTATCTTGAATTTTTTTTTAGACAGGAAGGGGAGAATTATTAGGGGGAAATTATTATTATAACATTTTATAATAATAATTACTATCTAAGTGTTCTCTCAAGTTTTCAAAATTCAATTAATTCATTAACTCATCGAGTATAATTCATAGAATTATTCGTCGCAGAACTATTAAATCACTGTTAAATTTATTAACTTTCCAGATAGAAATTTTTAAATTCGATAAAGAATAATAACTAGATCGGAGAAAAATTAGAAAATTGCCCAGAATGCAAGTAACAATTCCTTTTATTTTCCTCAAATGTTGTACGAATTTGCATAAGAATATGCGGTCTAATTATATTTTTTTTAAAAAGATTAGTACTGGAGTGTAAATTTTCAAGCACTTTGAATTTATTATTATATATTTTATTATATATGTATAATTATATATATTTTTGAATATACCTGGGATTTGCTGGTGAATGGAAGTATATCTTGAAACCTAATGACGGAAGTCAATATTTAAAATAAACTTTATTATCGCCTTGACAATATTATTTCACTTTCGTGTTACACAAACCTTCAACTCCAAAGTTCAACTGATATCGATTATAAGTATTATGTTAATCGCCGGTCACCTTCGAACAACCGTTTCAATAAACACAGCAAATATTGTTATATTTATATTTATATTTATAGTCATGAGACCTGTTAATAGATACTAAGTGTTGATTCAATTCATATATTGATCCAAATATATATTCATATATTTATATATGATACATTATAAATAAACAAATATATATATATATATATAAAATATTCAAATATTAGAACATTTGTATTATATTAAACATATTAAAATATTCTATGAATATAATACGTATTCTACTCTATTGTATTTTATGAATATAATATATATTCTAATATAAATGAATTTCTCTTATTTATCAATTATTTGTTTGAATATAAATTAAATTAATTAAATGAAATAATCCAGAAAAATCAAGACATGACAAATTACTGTATAACATCTACCAAAAAAATCTTAATTTTGTTATAAATGTAATTATTAATATAATTCCTATATAAACAATTAGAGGAAGAAATAGACACATATATATCACTCTTAAAAATGAAATTTCAAATAAATTGATTGTTATTAAATAAAATTCATTACATATAAATTCAAATATATATACATAATTCGTAAAATTCCCAATTTTAATATAATTGAAGCCAAAATTATTGAACTCTATTACATTCTGTAAATATAATGTATATTCTACATCATATTCTATATTCTATAATATATTCTATACTCTATTTTATTATATTATAATATATGTTCATAATTTCACGAATCACTCTTCGAGAATAACTTTAGAGGACTTCGAAATATTCCAGAAAAATAACGACTAACACAGAAACCTTCGTAACTCAACTACTAATATATAATCCAGTGTATTTTTAGTATACATTCGAAACATACATACTAACTGACATTCAAACTCCTCTAACATTTAAATCGCGAGTCATTTGTTTGTCATCGCCGGCCAGACAGAAAATAGGACAGCTGAGGTGCGTTGATTACTCACTCGTGCAATTTGTTATCAGGTTCAACATCGCCGATGAACAATCGGTCGTGTTCTCCGTCGGCGAAGATGATACCGCTCGCCAATCGCACGGCTCACAAGGAGAGGTCATATCATTGGGTCGTCAATTTTAATGAAATTTGGTCTGTTGATTCTAAAGCAAATACAATTTAACTAAGTCCAAGCATTTGCGTCAATACTCATTATTTACAGAAATATTTAATGTTTCATTCTACTATCTATATATATATATATATTACTCCTGTGAAATTTACGTTTAATAACGCAGGAGCGAAACTAGTGGTGTAGTGAATTCATACCCGGATATTTCACGGTTCAAATCCCTCGCAGGAAAAGAATATTTTTGTTATTATCTCTAATTTTGTTTTTTTTTTATTTTTGGTTTTCTTGTTTTTTTATATAGAATATTGTTTTATATTTTTATAGTATCCATAATTATTAATTTATTTAAAATATCAGAAAATTTCGATATAAAATATATCACAGAAAATTTCGATATAAAATACAACGTCGAACATAACAATTTTTATTAGCTAATATTTTGCAAAAGAACATTACAATGTCTAGGCTGATAAGCGTCATAAAAGCATAAAAAGCATAAATATACCGCGCAGTATGAACATCTTATAAGTGCCATACTTTTACAGGAACACTGCGTTTCTTTCTATCGTCTGGAAAGAAAACTTGATTTACATTGAAAAATATAGATCTATGAGATATTAATTTTATTGCGTACCAGGAATATTTAATCATTGCATTGAAAACTGGTGCAGATAACTAATTATGAATCAAGGAATGAATTTTGTATAGCGTCTACGTGAAAGTTCATAGTTGTTTTCTAAAATTTCTATGGCATTTTGTATTTTTTTAATAAAATCTTTAATTTGTCGGAAGAAATATGCATCGCACGGCTGACAAAAGATGGGGTGCAATGTGGAGATATAATTTTCAATGTTGATGTACAATTCCCTTCTTTTTTAGTGAAAATACTATTAAAATAGGCAACATCGGTTTGTCCTCCCCAGGACAGAAGAAAATGCAGAATTGCCAGAAATTCGGGATATATAAAGTTATAAAATAACGATTTTTCTTTTGTATTTTGTTTTTATGACGCTCCTAGACATTTGAAGGCCTTGAAAGTGTTTATGATGATGCGAGGATAATGTAAGAAGTGGTAATGTGTGTAAGGTGAAGAAAGGTTATGGCGACGTTTCGTCTCAGAGTCGCTGCCTAGACTCATCAGTGGGGCTGATGGCAGCGACCCCTTCCCCAGACGCTTGTTATTCTAACTCTACTCGCTAGGACGGTCATCATCCACCCATCCTAGCGATGTTCCGCACTCTGTTTGCTTAACATCGAATATCGTTAGAGACTTCAACGCTACGCGCACAGCCACTTGCGGCTTGTGCAAGTCGGTGTTCGAAACTCGTACTCGAGGGACTCTAGGCCGCTACACATTGTAATGTTCTTTTGCAAAATATTAGTTTATTAATAAAAATTGTGACGTTCGACATTGTTCATTTTGCACTGAAATTGTCAATGATACTTTAAATAAATTAAAAATTAGGGATATTATAAAAATGTAGAACATAGTATTCTACAGAAAAATGAAAGAAAAAAAAGAAAACAGAGATAATACAAAAATATTCCTCCGAGGATTCGAATCCTGAAAAACACCCGGGTATAAATCCACTACACCACCAGCTTCGCTGGTACGTTGCTTGCTATAATTTTAAGAAAAGAAGTATATATTTCTATGATAGAGTATTAAAACATTAAATATCTCTGTAAATAATGAGTATTGACGCAAATGCTTGAACATAGGTAAATTTGCTTTAGAATTGACAGACCAAATTTCATTAAAATCGATGACCCAACTGCTGTGACCTCTTCTTGTTAGCTTTCCGACCATGCATTTTTGCAGAATGTTTTGATAGTTGACCCAAGCGTGTACTTTCAACAAACGATCTATGGGTATGTAAAATCAAATTATCGATCTACGACTGATCGGTACCGTTGATCTTTTCTGACTTTTAAATGGTGGCATCTTTGTCGATGCCTCTCATCAATTCGTCGATACCCCCTGGAAATTCATGTATTGCGCCACGTTGAAAACGATTCCTAAAAAATGGTAGATTAAATTTTATCGATCGCGTTAAAATCACCAATCCGTCGTATGAAAGATGACATTCTTATGTCGTCCTCCTCTTTTGTGCAATATGTTTTATAAAATATCTCTCCTAAACTTATAATTTTTATTAACGACGTACGTGGGTTAATACATTTTTTTACGAAGAAAGCAGAATCTATTAATACGTAAAGAGATGTATAATTTCATTTAAAAAAGAGTGGTACTGTGAACCTGTTCTCCAAGTTTTGTTTCAAATATTTTTTTTTGAGAACGATGGATAGTTACAGAGATAATTAAATGTCAAATATAACATTAATTAAAATCAATATGATTTATGTTTTGTATGTATAAAAAGCAAAGATTTTATTTTCAATACTCAGTATTTATCTGATAATTCAGTAGATAATAAAATTTTTCAATTGCACGATTATTTTCTAATACAATTCTTCATGTGTTAACACTTTATAGATTCTTTGTTGCATAACAAACATGTTCATATAATTTTTGAAATGTATCATATAATTTTTGTGCTTGTCTCAAGATTTTTGAACGAAGATGCATGATTAATTATATAATAATACATATTCATTGATTAGTAAAAGAAGTAATCATATATTTCCTTCTCTTTTAATTTATTACTTTTAATTATTTATTCTTTTGCACGTGATTTATTATTTGAATTATTTTTCCATACTTCCTGCATTCTTCGATTTTGAGTCATAGCTCATCTAATATGTGGGGTTATGATCGTAAAAATACACCCGGAATTGAAACAGGCTGGCCAGAAATTCGTGACGGACATGGAATAAACATTGAACGATTCGACGTCGTTTGACAAACTGGTAACGTAAATTTTTAATCGAAAAATGGATAATCGATGCTGACTTACATTGTATCCCCTCTCTGATAGACTGTCGCTTATTTTCTTGTCTTTGAAGAACATAACGCTCTACGAACTTAATTTCCTCGATTATTATCGGGCAAAAGAAATGTTTGCAGATTCTTTAGAAACTCAACATTATTTAAGTAACTTAATAGTAATTAACTCCCGTTTGTAATACGAAAAAGACATTAAGGAGATATTCTCGTAATCCGGTTTAAAAAAATTAATTTTTTATTTTACATTTCCTCAAAGTATCTGGTTTCGAAAATGTCTATGTAAAAGGATTTGTTTGAATTCGTAAAATTAGCAAAGTTATAAACGTTTAAAGGAAACGGTGTATAGCGATAGCCATATTTATACTAATTAAGATGCATTTTGGTTTTTTAGTTTCAAATAACCAAGTGGACCATCATGTCAGCAATTCGAATTTATTTTTAAAAACGGACATGTAGAATTAGATAAAACATGCTTTACCTAAGGCTATATAATTTCAACAACTTTCATTAATTTTGTTAAAAACAAAAAATTGTAAATACTCTTTAAGTATGAATAAGTCTGTGTGCGAAAATATACTAAAATGTATCATGGTTTCCTTAGAAAAAAATCTCAAAAAAATCGATTCTTTTAAGATTACCAGAATATTCCCTTAAGAACAAAAATTAACACATGTAGCTGTATCGCAAGAAATAGTCAGAGAACGTATAAAAATATTATTCATAAAATAATCTCCTTCTTCCATAATAAGAGATTCTTTTAAATAATTAACATGTATATATACATATAACTTAGTAAAAATTTGATGAAGGTACTGGTAATTTTGATAAAAAATTTTAATGAATAATCAATTTCTTACGATACAAGTGTTATTACTCCTTTCGCAGGTATACCCCGATTTGTTTGACATAAATTTCTTTCAATGAAGATTGAAAGGATTGAGAAAAAGAGTAACAAATTCTTCCTCCTAATTAAACGACTTGTAACTATAGTGATTCTTGTATTGCTTTAATATTACAAATGAAAACCTGAGAGCCTGAATACCTACGTCATTACTTATTAAAATGTTTCAAATCAAAAGAAACTTTGATTAAAACGTTAATAACGTTAGAATTCAATGCATCGTGCCAATATTTTTTAATGCTAATTCGGAAGTTAATAACTATCCGAAACTTTTTTGTATAATTAACTATTTGACTTCTCGATCGGATTTTTTACTTCAAAATATCAATTTCGTGCATTTTTGAACAATAAATATGAAGTGTGTGAATCACGATATAAAATTCGGAAAAATTTACTGTATTGTCAACGAAATTGATATTTATAAATTGAATTATTTATATTTCCGTCCTATATATTAACTTCTACTACTATAAAATTGAAAATTTTTGTTTGATAGCAAAAGACAAATCAAGTTAGAAAAATAAGGATCTTATTTAATTAAATAAGCAGAATTTAAGGCTTGACTAATCACATTGGGGATGCGAGATTTTTGTTACGGCTTTCGCTGATTGAGGTGCAGACGAGAAGTAACAATATAGGTGGCTCATTATAATTTTTACAAATAAACGTGTAAATATTATACATAAAACTCACACAAGTATTCAAACTTTCATTCACAGAATGCGAATTCTGTATTTATTGAACACATTATGATTGTTAGCAATGATTAATGCTATAAATCGGTACAATATACAAAAATATTTGAATGCCAATATACAGGATGTTAACTTGTGGGACCCACTTCGGGAGCTGATTGTACGCCTAAAATTAATGAAAAAAAGTCATATTAATATATGTCCCATCTGTCTTCGTTTATGAGATATAATGAATTTTCTATTTTAATTACTTTTACAAAAGATGCTCGAAATGACCACCTTGCATTTGAAGACCAGCCAGCACTCATCTTGTCATTGATCTGGTTACTTTCTCTATCATTCCTGGTGTTTCTCGAATTTGTCGGAAGCCTTGCTCTATTCTATTTCGTAGTATTTCAGCATGTTCAATCAATGTTACGTATACAACAGATTTTAAATGTCCCTACAAATGAAAATCTAATGGATTCAAATCCAGAGAACGAGCCATGCAATAGCACTTCCACGACCAATCCACTTATTTGCAAAGTGTTGATTTAAAAGTTGCCTAGCCACTCGGCTAAAATGCGGCGGAGCTCCATCATGCATAAACCGCATAAGAATAGTATCGACTGGAACTTCCTCTAATATTTCATACAAACACGTGCTCAAAAAATCAACGTACTTTGTGCCTGTTAATTTCTCATCAAGAAAAAAAGATCCAATTAAAAATTTATCAATTATTCCTACCCATACATTTACTAAACTGGTGTTGATGTCTTGAATGCACAATAACATGTGGGTTTTCTTCATCCCAATTATGATTATTGAATATACCCTGGTAAAACTATCTTTATCAGTGAAAAGTATGGTAGATACAAAACTCTCTTCACGTTCACACATTTGCAGGAAACAAGTACAAGAAAAGAAAGATATCACAAGTAAGTATTATTTGTGAACTGTGCGAATTCTTGCTTACGAACTATTGCAGTTTATGGATAGCACATATATTTGTATGACATTTTTTTCATTATTTTTAGGCATACAATCAGTTCCCGTAGTGGGTCCCACAAGTTACGAAACACCCTGTATGTGGTACCAGGAACTTTCAGAATATTCTACAGAACGATAACAGTTCATTACAGACATTTTATTCTTGAATACTTTGCAACATTAAGTATGTAACTATCCCATTTGATCATTAATATGAATTATTGATAATGTTTCTGTGGATTGTTATTTATTACTATTAACTGTCATGATATGATATGATGTCCTAAATCTCAGTCAGGAAAAAAATGGTATCTATCGCTGTTTCTGTCAGAACAATAGTAGCTATCGCGACTTTTGTAATCTTTTTGCCATTCGCGATATTTCTATCCGCGATGCAGAGGTATGAACTCGGGAACTGTCGGGCAGCTAGCTAAACGCAGCGGCGTTTATAAAAGTAGAGTTGTAAAAGATTAATAATAAGTTGCAAATGGAGTACGAATAGAAATTTGGGATAGGAACCTGAACGTTTGGAATTAAAATTGTATAAAATTGAAATTGCTTGGAAAGACTTCAGATATGGCACTACTCTAAATAAAAATTTTATAATTATTAAAATACAGATTGTTTATCGTGTAAAGAAATTTGCATGATCTGGTAAATATCATGGTATTGGATGCACGAAGTGTTCATAGATGTGATTAGTATGTGGAATAATTGCATGGAATGGAACACGTTTACAATTTTGGGTACGTGACACTCTATTTATGACGGAACTGACGGCAAGAAAATCTATATCATACGTCAGATAATACAGAAATTTAATTTAATTGATCATTACATCTGAAAGGAGGGCGTTAGACCGACCAACACCACAATGACATTGTAAATGAAGTATCCTCTGTAATTTCGCACGAAATCGGATATATTGATTTTTCTGATGATCGCTTACGACATTATTGTTAACGCGATCACTCTAAAGTAAATAAAAGTAGTGAATAAACTTACAATATGTATTTTTATTTACAGCTTCTGGACGCTTGTAATTTTAGTGTTTGTAATAAACGTTCTGTAATAAATTAGAATATATATAAATATATACTTGAGTAGCATTAATATAATGAAATTTCATTCAATAGCACAAATAAACGACGTACACGATATTTGTGTATATATCTAGTCCCAAATGAAGTAAGATACTTTTTAAATCGTTTCATTATATGTAGTTACATACATATGAATACATGTTCAAGTTAGCATATTATTTGTATGGATATCGAGTTAACTTATGATGTCTCATAAATGAAATAAATCGTTATTGGACAGATAAAAATGTATGCCATGGCAATGATGTGTCTAGAGACTATCGTGTTTAAAAAAATGAAGTAATTAAATAGAAAGTATGTTTAAGTAGAAAAGTTGTTCCTTCTATGTTAGCTATACTATAGATGTTGCTTCAATATAATATATATGTCGATTTTAAACAACTTTTTCCTTTGCATATAATCAGCGATCAAAGCTAGTTATTAAAATATTGCTAAAAATTTGCCGGAACTCGAACTTCTATGAATCATTGGTCACGTGGCCAGCAAATTGGTGGCGTGACAAGCAAAATAATGCCGAGGCCTACTTTAGAAATTACCCAAAGTTATGCGAACCGAATGCGTAAAAATATTTACATAATAAGAATGCGATTTGAGCTGGTTTATTATATTCGGCCAACTCATGGCGGCAGATAATCATTATTGAAGCATACATAGGTACAATTGTATGCTTACTTACTTAAGTTCTTTGCGACTATCTTGGAAATTGAAGGCGATAATCTTTCTTTCATCCATCGTATGTATATTAAAATTTTCGTTGTTACGTGCGATTTTGCATTTCTTTCTCAACGTGCCATTACAATAACCATAGAGTATGTTTTTAAATATTTAGTACAGTTTATTTAGTACAGTATAGTCACGGCACAATAGACAAGGTATATATTGGGCGGTGTCAGCGTTACATGCCAGTCTCGTGTTGAAAGCTTTATCAGTGTTTTTTTTTTTTTTTTTTTTTTTAACCAATTATTTCACTTTTCTCTACTCGGCGTATTTTGATCTGATGTCGATTTGCAATGGTCGATTGTCCTTTCGAGGGGTACAATACAAATAAATATTTCGGAAAGGTTATAAATAACTCTCCTTGCTGATTTTGATGATTTCTAAACATCGATATCGTCTAAGTCACTCACGAGCATGTCCGGATGTTAATCTATTCGGTTGCATCCACCGTTCTGATTTATCATCTTATCTGTTTATTTTATTATACTCTAGGGATCTACATAACTTCGACTACAATGAAATATTTTACATGGAATAATTTTGAAATTTCTCACATTTCATTATAAATTTCAATCATAAATGTATGAAATGAAAAATAAAATAATTAAGTATTTTCTTATTTTGTAACAAGATGCAAATTGCTATGATATCACGATGCCACATCTCACCAGGATTTCTAATTTCGAATTTCTGTCAGAATCAGAAGCTTTTGAATGAATTTACACGTTTGTAAAGTTTGTTTTGTATTATACATAGAGACAGAATGAAATTAACCAATTCATACTTTTGAAAATTTTATAATGAATTAAGGATGCCTCCCACAGAGGAACGCTTTTGTTCGCAGCAATATAAATCCTCTGCTTTTAGACGATAATGATAGTGATAGAATATAAATATCATTATTGCATAAAAGAATTGTTTGACATTTATCACAAAAGATTCGTCTGGTTAAAAAATCCTCTTTATTAGCTCCAAGCATTAACATTTGTATATTAGGCAGTTGCAGATAAAGGCCTCTATGTATTTTCTCATAATAGTAAATATCTTGTGGAAGTAAAATTTATTGAAACTACTAAAGCACTCGTTGTTGTATTGTCTTGAAAATTCCTTTCAACTGATAAATCACTAATTATTTTAATGTCATATTTCTTTAAATCTTCTTTTGGAACATTTCCAGAGAGCATGAGAATTTTCGGTGAATTAATCGATCCACTTGAGACAATCATTTCTCTTTTAGCAAAAATTTAGTTTAATTTATTCTAGGTATTTGTGGTCGTTAAAGCGTATCCAATGTATGTTTTGATTTGTTGTCTACCAGCCGTTTCATGAGGTATGCTTCAATTTTAATAGTTAGATCCTCGTGTTTGTGTCTGATGGGTCATAACAGGAAAAAGATGTTTATGCTTTGGCGTGTTCCATTAGCGGACGTCGTTTGCAGGTTCATAATACCGAGTTAGGTTTTCGAATTTAAATCTAAATCGAATTTGTACTCGAGTTCTAGCCATGCATTCAGGAAGGTGTCGTGGATGATATCAGTGTATGGTAATTGCTGTACCAATTGGTAACTATATTACTTGTGTTAGAGTGGATTGTCTTCCACTATCTGGAAAAAATGAGTTAATAATTTCTAATGAATTTTAATTTTAGTTTGTTAGTTTAATTTTTGTATGATCTGGTTCTAATTGGATTTAGGATAAACTTAGAGTATTATAAACTTATCACTATTCGAAAGAATTATTCGTGTTTTTGATAGATAATAATTCGATAATTTTTAGAAGAGAACTATGCTTACGTTTTGTACATGTTTCTGATGCGTTTAGAGTAAATGCAAGATACATATAACCAGTAACAGAAGTCAAGATGAATCTGTTATAATGTTTCAGATGGATAAAATTGATCCAAGATCTTTACAAATCAATTTGAAGTCTAAATTAATTGATTTTTTTTAGAATAATGCCATTTTATAAAATGTTGCTAATTTATTTAAAGGAGCGTATAAATAAATTAAAAATCTCATGAAATATAATTGCACTCTAGCATAAAGTGAATAGAAATCATTTTGATTAGAATTACTCTAATAAGAATAATAATAATTATGAGAACAAGTGGAAGAAAAAGAAAATGAAAAATAGTATATTCCTAGACTAATCTTTTGGTGGTTGACAACATGAACTTTAATTAAATTTATTACTTCTGGATACATGTTGTTTTCTGATTTAACAAAGTGAAATGGAACTTCGTAGTTCCAGGACTTCCTTCCTCTACCCATTCATAATCTGTTGGATTATCACGAACATTATATATATACACCATATACTGCAATCACCTATCACCTGTAAATAGGATAATAAATTTTTAAAAGCCCAGACACCAGGTACTTTAATAGAACTTTTTACTACAGTGAAATAAAGGTAAAACTTTTCAACTGTTGCGAACATCTTTGTATCGATTGCAAATTTCATCAATGTAACTATACCAATCGTGTTTTATCAGCGAGATCAATGACATCTCGAAATATTATAAAAACACATATATAAAAATGTTAATACGTTCGAATATATATTCATATACCATTATATTACGACAAACAGATATTCCACAGTTTCTTGTAAAAAATTACAGTATTGTAATATGTGTATACGTACTTTAGCCCTTGATATCGCTCAAATTCTATTTTGGATCGACAAGTGTGCTGCTCCAGTGTGCAGTGCATTCAATAGATATTGGTCCCTAATAAAATAGGGACAAATGCTGGAATATCAGTTACTTTTGAGTTTTTCATACCAGTTTTCAATAATAATACCTAGAAATCTGAAAAGACTTTGTCATGTGTAAATGACGCTATTGTTCGAAAACTTTTGGAAGTAATTGTAGGTAAAACGAAATTCTAGGAAAATTAACTGCTGTTTTAGGGATCAATAACAGAGATCATTTGTAATCTGTTCCATAAAACAAAACTATGTTGACACAAGTTTCAAACGGATTTGTCATCAAAGTCTGAAAAATCTGGAAACATGTTCAAGCCCTTCAAAATAAGATTACAGTATAAGTAATTACCCAATAATTTTCTTCAACAGATGATTTGCATATACAATATATATACAGTGGAATGTGAGTGATAATCAATATATACTAAGAAATGCATTGTATTACAAAGTCGTTTATTGGATTATGTACCCCCGAAAATAACAAAATAACAATAGTGAATGTAATTCCAAGTGCATAAAAATTCGTAGTATGTTTATAACCTTCAATAGATATTTCCTATTTCAGTATTCAATTTTGTAATCTTAAAAATTGTTATAATCTCATAAACCACAGATATTTACAGATTAGTAATGACACAAAATGTTTAAATACAAGTACCTTCTAATTTACCTGTTACCTCTTAACCTGTTTGCAAGTACATATCCGGCTATTCTAGTTCTTACGATAATAAAATCGTAGTCTCTATAAAAAAATTCGTTTTATATGAAATATAATTTTAATTATGTAAAATATAATTAATTATGTAAAATGAAATATACTTCAATGAAATATGTATGCAGTTAATAATGAATATATGCATAATTATTATAATATGTATCGTCTTACAGATAAGTATACAATAATTAAGCTATTTAGTTTATCGTTGTCCTGTGTTAAAATAATCTATGCTTAGAAATTTGTCGCGCAATAAATTCTAAAATATCATAGCTGTAAAAAATAACAGGAATAGTATTAAATAATTTTATGTTTCAGTGCGAATGTTATATGAGCATATGGAATGCTTTCATTTGCCGAATTTGAGGATCCGATTAAAATGCTTAAACCAAAGGAAAATTTCAAAAATATTTTAACAAAATGATGATTTCAGTAATAGTATTTTAGTAGCAGTGTGTATTTAATACAGTTACGCGTTATTACTAGATAACAACACAATCGCTCGAAATTTTGGACACTTTTTTCCCTCTTTCAATCGGATAAAACTTTTCGTTCATTTTTTGGAAAAATGAAAAATTTGTAGGTCTTATATTCATATCAAAATACAACTACAGATACAAATATGTGTAAAGTGATATAAAATGTGATATAAATATAGTAAAATAAACTGATGTAAAAACAACTATGCCATTATATTCTACAGGTAAAAATTAGATTCTGTTGTCATTTAACAAAGTGTTTCTAAATTCGCCATTAAAAAGTTATAAATGGATATAAATGAAATGAGCGTATTCATAATAAAATTTACTTAAATAGTAACAATATATTAAATTTGAAATTAATAGCATGGACATACGATGTACGTGATGTTTGTACGTCATGTTGTATCAAGTCCCGATTTAAATGGCATCGTTTTTTAATCGTTTCAATTCTTTTATAGGTAGGTGAATCTTGGTCTTATACTTGCTCTATTTTGAAGTTTGAGGCACTTATTTTCCGAATACATCGTTCATTTCATTCTAAATTATTCTTATCTATTATGTTTTTACATTAAATGGTGGGTGACTAAAAATTAAAGACTCATTTCCTGTTGACAGCGCTACAAATTGTCATAGTATATTTAAATAAAAATTGAAAATTTTCAAATAATGTCTAGTAATATTGAGCTACGTGGCTGTAAGAAAAAATACCTCATATAGTAATTTCAAAAAATTTAAATTAATAAATCAATTGAATTATAGAGCATAGAAGAATTTATGAATTTACTACGAAAACATTTATTCAAGTAGATTTTGGTTATACTATGTAATGTGATTCAGGTTCTATGAAGCAAAGTTTTTTATCCGAATATGTCATTTTACTTGATATTTCCAATCGCAGAGGCTAAAAATCACAGTGATGTTTCGCGGAAAAGGAACACTTTCTGAGACATTTGTCAACAATTATCGATGTTATTACAATGAATTCTGTTGAAGATGAGAGCATGTGGCACACGTCGTTCTTCCGTACAGCCACAGAATTCTTGCCAACATGAAAAAAGAGACAAGTCGTTTTAAATTTCACCTAACTAAAAATAGAGCACTGAAGTTTTTTATATTAATAAGAAATTTCGAATCGTTATTTTTCTAGAATATTCCAATACAAAGTTATGTGTGTATAATTAAATTAATTAAATTATGCGTTTATAATTAAATTAAAGTATGGCTGCTTTATGTTCGGCTAATGTTAATAATAGGTACTGGAAACAACCAATAACAATAAGTATGTTGGACTCACAATTACATAAATGCATTTCACAATGCTAGTCAGAACTCATTACAGCGATAATGATAATAATAGTTTTCAGGAGTCCAATGAAACTATTAGAGTTATGAATTACATGAGTATTACCTCCATCAGTAATGAAGTGTTGTAATGCTTCAACGATTAATCCTGTTACGAACCAACACTAACGTACAAGTAGACATAAACGCTTGAATGATGCGCATAATGTCGCATTTGGTATCAAAAATGCATAGTCATATGATTGACTTTTACATACTACATTTTTGTATTGTTATTCCTATTTTTGTTGGGGTCCACCAATTATATCTTCTGAATTATCACTTCAAAAACTTCATATCAACCTCGTGTTTGATCAATTTCATCGCGGTAGATACAGTGATACAAAATAAAATTTTTATCCAACAGTATGGTAAGTGCGAAATGCAATAGATTTACTATTAAAACAAATATTTTCCAATTTTATTATTCATATTTTCGTCGTATACCTTAAGTTTTCACTGTTGTTAAATTGAAAATTTCAAATTGATAGCGTGGAACAAATTAATTGAATTAAATGAGATTTCTATATAGTAAATGTAGTAGGCACAGTTTAAGGCTCGACTAATCATAGAGAGAATGCGAGATCTTTCTTACGGTTTTCTCTGACCATCAACGATTGAGGTGCGAACGAGAAGCGACAATATAATTAGATCGTTATCATTTGTGTAAATATATATGTGAATATAATTTTAACTTACAAAAGTATTCAAACATTCACCGTGAAGATTCATGTATCATTCATGTAGCATTACTTATAATCTTTCAATTTTCAATGTTTTACACGTTCAAGCAGTCAATTAATTCTATTATGAATTATAATTCTATGGTGTAAATTAAAATATGAATATAATATAATTGTAATATGAATGATAAATTTAGCCTCATCTTCTATTTTTGGTTATTGCTATTATAATTTTTTGAATATAACCTATTTTTTAAAAAAAGTAACTAGAAATATGTAACTTTATCGATCCCTCCTAATTGATTTCTTGTTATTTAGTGATTAAATGAACTAAATGAAACTATCATTAAATTTACCATATAAATCACAATAAAGAGCAATTTGTATATCATGAATTAATTTGCATGCTGATAACTAAATAGGCACAATTTAAATGACCAGTTGAATAAGCAGTACGATAATGAAATATGTAGAAGAAGATTTAAAATATACGACAATATGTAAGCGATATATTATATGTTTATCAGATCCCGATTTGAATAGCGTCGTTTATGGTCGTAAATTTATTGCATTTATTATATGTATGTTTGGAACATAATGTATCATTTTTTCACCACATTGTCATTATTCGCCGTAAACATATTGGTGCAAATGTTACCTACCGAGCATTATCAAAATATTGAATTTACATAAAAGCAAATTTTATAGTTAATGGCTTTTATCACAGCAATGGTTTTGTCACAGACTAGGTATTTGAAAAGACTTTGCATTTTAAACGATGTTTCTGTAGCGCTCTCTACGCTTAAAGATCTGTGAGTTGGGAAATTACTCAAATTGAGTAACATGATCGCGGCTGTTACATAATTTTCACAAACTCCTAAGATATAGCATATCCTAAGATATATTTTAAGACACGAGACTCTAGTCTTGAAGCTGATAGAATGCCTAGTTTCTCAATCAAACATATTGCCCCGTCTGATAGTTTCGTAATTCTCAATCGAGCCTGGAGAATAGCTGCTACAATTGCTATTTTAAATTTTAACAAATTTCTTTTTGATTATTTATCGTACAACCCAATATAAAAATTGAAATGATGAAATTTTTTTGTGCAAAAATGAAATTTTGATCGTTTTGAGTTTAAGGGAATTTTAATTGAGTTGAGTTGAGAAGTTTAGCCTTGAAATATTCTTGAAAAATTTTTTTATTTGAATTCTGAAACATTTAATGGATTAGCAGCATTTAATAAAATAAAATAAACTACATAAAATGATATCTAGTGTCCGATATGAATGTAAAACATTAGTATATCATTAAAATTAAAGAAAATAACGATAAAGTGAATGAATTATTTTGTTTGCACGAGAATGCTCTAAGGGTTAGTAAAGGATTTCAGTGTAAATCTATTTTCAAAACTCGATAACTCGATTTTCAGCTACGCGATTTTCTCGAAACGATTGTATCTGTTTCATTCAGATTATTAACATTCTCGTGGATCAAATCGGCCATGATCATTGTTTGAGACAAGAATTACTCCGTTCAATCGAATTTAATATTATTCCATTATTTCATTTATAAATTTAAATAGACTATATGCAGTAGAATAGCAATTGTGTTATTTTTCAAGCATGTTTGAGAATTCGAAACGTCCATAAAAGAGTTAAAAAATTGATTTATTTGATCAATGTACGATAAACTATCTGCTATTTTCATATTGGAAAGAGGTGGATTTTTTAACCCATTTGCATCGCGATTTGAAATGCACGTTGGATCACCGATGCCTTGATTTAAATGCTAAATATTTTTTCTTTTTTATTAATATTAACCGATTATTATGAAACAAACCATAATACCAACAGGTTAAATATAAAATTCCTAGTCAGTCATAAACGAATAAATAAATTAAATGTATGTTTGCTGATTTCGAAAATTTAATCGTTCGAAATAATTTTACGATATCTAACGTACAGCGAAAGATAGACAACGAAAAATAGAAAATGATATAAAAATTAGGTAAGACTTACATCGTAACAGTGTTCTCGGCCGGCTGCTATTGTTCTGGGATGAATGCTTATACATATATATGGATGTATTTGTTTCTGTTTCTATTGAGATTTGCATTTTTTGCGTTTCCATTTATTCTAGACTAAAGATGACTAACTGGTAGCCCTCCTTGCCTTCACTTTTCTGATCTATCTAGAGCTATCCTCTCCGCTGCATCAACCTCTCCACTGTATTCAGAGTGTCGCGGTCACATACTCGCATTATATACATATATCTCGTATGCATGCATATAAATTGTTTTTTTTTACTGTAGCTGCCAAAATTAAAGGAAAATATTATTGCCCGTTGTAAAACATAATGAGAATTAATTTTTATGGTAGAGAAAGCTGCTTGTCTGATTGTGAGTGAGTAACTTGTGCAGCCCGTGGCGGGAAACAACCGATTCTAGACGTTCGAGTTAAACCCGGTGCAGAGCAGTCTCAGGGCGGCAATGCTTTGGAAGAATAGAGACACAAAATTCTTTTGTTTCATAAAAAGGAGGATGAAAGAATATTACATTTCTAATCTTTCAATAAAAGATGATGATTTGCCGCAAATGGCTCGTCTACATGGGCCAAACATTAGCTGCTTGTTCTTAGCTCAGCTTGTTAATTGCTTGTTCTTTTATATATAATAATATTATATATAGTAAGTTTCATAAAATTGAAGGATATACCTTCCAAAAGAATGAATTCTCGAAGCTAAGATTTTATATCTTTGCACTTTTACATTCCCCATAACTCCCTTCAAATTCTAAGAAATAATTAAGTTAGTTAAAAATTTTTTTTAAATAATGAAATATAAATTATTACATATTTAATATGTGTATTAATATTGAAACATAGATAGAGCTCTTTCTAATATGTATATACATAGATACATAATATTAAACGGAATAACTTTAGATACTGATTTCTTGTATCAAAGTCTGGAGGCAATATGTATATATATTTATACCTTTTTTGTGCCTGGATATATACAATTAACACTGTATAATGGATATAATTTTTCTCAACCAACTTGTATTATTTCATTTGGCGTAGTTCTCCAATTCACCGTTGTTTAAGCGTAGAGTGCGCTAAAAAAGCAGTGATATTTTTCCTGATTGGTATTTCAGACCCTGAGACACGAAGCTTCATTTAATGTCCGGTCTATCCTATTTTTAATTAATGATATTAGCACAGACGAGATGTATGACCTATCATATATGTACTTCGTCTGTGCTGTAAAACATTCACGGCCGATAACGTAGACCTACATCATTTCAAATTCTTCAGCTGAATGCCGATAACGTAGTTTTACGTCATTTTAAATTTATTCATTGAATACCGGCAATGTAGTCCTATAGTGATTTCAAAATTGGTGCACCTACTAGCTACAAGGGTCATACATCGCACAAATGGCTGAATACAATTTCTATTTGTCTAGTAAATATATGAATTTTTATTCAATAAATAAGTGAACAACTAATGTTGCAACTATTCAAACTATAATAATATCGCTGAATATAGTTAATACAGCAGTAAAATTTGCATGAATTTCGATTTCAACAATAGATATAATAAATTTAAATTAATTAATGCTTAAAAGCATTTAAATTTTCTGATATATACTATACCACTAAGCATATATTAATGCTTATTTAAAATTTTGATAAAAATTCGAAAATTTGTTCGTCTCCCTAAGCGGCATTTAATATAGATAAGAAACATCGCTGTTATATAGTCTGATGTAAAACTATAATATAATAAACAAACAATAAACATTTAATTGTTTATAACAATGCCACAAGTATTTCAGAATATAGATGAATAAGAATTTTGTAACACATGAACACAATTCTATAATGATAAAAACATAAAATAATAGAGTATTATTAATAGGGGTACCCATAAGTTATGTCATTTTTGATACTGAACAAAGTTTTATTTTATTTAGTATATTTTTTTTAAATTATTGTCACAAGATAGAAAAATTTATTAAATTTAAAGAAAACGACATTACTGATAGGTACCCTTAGTATAATACGTATTATATATTTATGTGTATACATGTGAATAATATACAAATATATAAGTCCTTTCAAGAGTCAAGCAAATAATCGCAAAGCTCAGGAAGTGCAAACGATGAATCATCACTTCTAAAGAAAAATGTCGTGGGTATCTCCAAATCTAACAAGCGTTTGCTCAACTAATTCTGTACTGTCATTCTGTCAACCATCATCACTTATGTCTCGTCGCTAATCTATTCAGTAATTCCAGTGACGAGTTCTGTCCACATCATGACACAGGTACAGATGAAAATAAATCAACTATAATATAGAAAATGTAGAACTAAAGCGTTGCGTCGACAAAAATATAATGTGTGATAAATACGATCAATACGAGCAAATTCAATAATAGATTAACAGAGAAGAATCAATTGTCTGTTAATCTGTCTGTTGATTTCCAAAAATGCCGAACTTCTACTTAAGGTACAATACTTCTTAATATTAAAGTGAAAGTAAAGATTTATAACAAAGAACTGTTTTATCATTATGAAGAACTTGATGTGAAGAAAGCTTGAAATGAAATTAAATAGTCTCAACATCACATTTGTATTAAATGAAGAATTTTAACACTTCTGAATGCACAGGTGGTACTAATTTCCTACATTTTTGACGACGCATTTGTAGACATCTTGCTAAATGACATTTTAGTCTTACTTTTACCTGCAGAACTTAATGGCAGAGTTAGAACAACAAACCGGAACTCTATACATTTAAATTATAATGATTTCAAATTGAAAAATAACATTCTCATTGTTTCAACAGATGTATGAGAAGATTTGTTTTATTGAAAATGAAAACTATTAGTTGAACTAAATAAGTCGAATGACAGAAGTACGTCTAGTAATAATATTTGTCTGTGTCATATATTTGTTGCTATCGAACTGCTATTACTAAACACGATAAATTTGATGAAATATTCTGGAAAATTCCCTTTGTTTTAAACAATTCTTCGTTTTTTTTAAACATTGACTTCGTCGTCAAACTTTGTAAGTGAATGCATTTTGCAGTGCAACAGTGTGACAGCTAGTGTAAAATTCAAACTGAAACATAATATTATAGAATGTTACTGGTTTATATAAAAATTCTAACATGATATATGAGAATGTATGCTGATATATTTTAAAATAATTGCGAATATAACCACAAATTATTTATTATTTATAAATATATTTTCTTTGTATAATTAAAATTATATCTATACAAAACGAATTTTCTAGAAGAGGAGTACGATTTTGTAATCGTAGGAGCTGGATCAGCCGGATATGTTCTCGGAAACAGATTAAGCGAAGTAAATCATTGGAAGAGGTATTTGCAAGTAATTATTTTGTCATTACTGTCATTACTAACTTGGTGTCTGTTTCTAGATTTACATTTTTAATATTTCACAACAGTCGAAAGAAATGAAAGCTAGATGAACAATATCTAGAATATATATATAGATTATAATCTTACTGAGGATATTAATATTAATTTATATTCATATAAAATTATTCTGTATTATTACTCAATGATATTTCATCAACTTCGTCGTTAGATATTCCAAAATGCGACTTTAGTATATGATACACTTTTGATACATTTTAACTAACATGAAGATTTACATTTTACTTTATATATCAACAATTTCTATTGAATCTACCGAAAGAGATCACAGGACAATTTCGTTTAATTTAACTTTGATTTGAAACACATATGTATGCGTTATCAGGATTTTTGCACATTCTGAAAGTATTGAAAACCAGATCGGAAACGATCCCCGTTCAGGAATAAGGGTAAATTTTGTTAGAAATGGAGCTGCATCAAAATGTTTCAAGAATAACAAAATTTAGACATTGATATTTTATGACAGTGCTCTGAAACTTTACATATAACTCCAGATATTATTATTGGAAGCTGGTATAGAAGAACCAGAGGTAGCTGGAATTCCGGCTTTCGCCTCTATGTTACTCGAGAGCAATATCGATTGAATATATCACTCACAACCGCAGCAATACGCTTGTCTATCCAGGGAAGGAAAAGAGTATGCGACCCCAAGGAGTAAAGTATTATATATATATAGAATGATCCATTTAAGTGAAATTACTTAAACGTCTAGAAAAATATAAACTCGCATAACAGTATTAGAAGGACAAAAATTTCACCCATACGCGACTTTCGCAGTGGGATTTTCAATAATAAAAGAATAACCAATCATTCTTTAAAAGAAAAACTTAAATTTTTGGACATCAATGTTCAGTTATTTGTTTTTTTGATACGATTCATGTTAGGAAAAAAATATTTTTTGCATCATCACAATTCAAAGAGATATTTAGGTGGGCTCACTTAAATGAGAACCCTGTATATATAATATTTCTATACCTAACAAAATATTTTGAAGTATTATTAATATAATAGATACAACACAATTATTATAGTTATACTGGTGAAATTTGCAACAAATCTATGTATCTATATAATACTCAGAAATTTAAATATTGCACTTCTCTAAACTGTAAATTAAAATACATATAGTTCTAGTGCAGTTTCTGGTATTTGGGTTTTTTAAAAATCTATCATCACACTTACAGGTGATGGGTGGTTTCAATAATATCAATACGATGATGTACGTTCGTGGAAACTCAAGAGACTACGACGAATGGGCTGAAGCAGGAAATTATGGCTGAAGCTACGAAGAAGTTCTACCATACTTTCTGAAATCAGAAAATAACTTGGACCCAGAGGTATTAAATTTTAAATTTATATCATTCAGTATCAGGAGGCATCCAGGTTTTATTTCCTCTAGGTAGTGAAAGAGAATCCACGTTACCATAGCCAAGGTTACCTATCCGTAGAATAATTTCAACGACATCAACAACGATATCTTGCTCAGTGCATGGCAAGAACTTGGTTACGAACTCGTAGATGTCAACGCAAATAACCAATTGGGTGTGATGAATCTACAAACAACCTCCGCTAATGGAACACGTCAAAGCACTAACAAAGAGTTCATACAACCCATCAGATGTGAACGCAAGAATCTAACGATTAAAACAAAATTATACATTACGAAATTGCTTGTAGACAACAAAACAAAACATGTAACAGGCGTCGAATATACTTCAGGAAACAACCGAACTAAATTAAACACAGTTTTTGTTTAAAAAAAAGTGATTGTCTCAGCTGGATCCATTAATTCTCTAAAAATTCTTATGTTCTCTGGAATTGGACCAGGAGAAGAATTAGAGAAATATGGTATCGAATTAATTAGTAATTTATCGGTTGGGAGAAACCTTCAAGATCAAGTACTAACGACTGGTTTTATCTTTGCATTAAATTCTCCACTTGTGTGAATATCTCCATGATGGTGGAAGACATTTCCTATTATAACAAGACACATGGAGGACCTTTATCTGCAGCTGGTACTGTCATGCCCTCTGCTTTCGCACAATCATCTTACCAGCACGAAGAAGAAGTACCAGATTTACAATTTCTATCCTGTGGTTCCAATCTAGAAGATTTTTTAAATAAGCCAAATGCACTTATTTTCATGGGTGTCAACCCATTCTTTTACTATGATGCTATTTCCATTATTCCAATTTTATTGTCGCCTAAAAGCAGAGGATTTATATTACTGAACGGAAGTGATCCTTTGTGGGGAGCACTCCTAATTTATTTTAGGTATTTTCCTAGAAATCCTGATTTGGACGTTTTAATGGAAGGTGTGGAAATAGTTTCAAAATCATGTTTAATACAAAATCGTTCAAGAAACATGATTTTAAATTGATCGATAAACTTTTGCCTGTTTGTAAAGAGTTTGGGTTTGGCGAGAGGAATTATTGGAAATGCGTGATGACGGAATATACAAATACTTTTTATTATCTAGTTGGTACTTGCAAGATGGGCCCCAAATCGGATCCTAAGGCTGTGGTGAATGAGAGACTGAAGGTTTATGGAATCGATGGTTTGAGAGTTGTAGATACCTCGATTATTCAAAAGATTGTTAGGCGAAACACGAACGCGCCTTCTATTATGATCGCGGAGAAAGCTAGTGATATGATTAAAGAGGACTGGTTGTCTGGCCATGTTGGATTTAAATGATGTGACGTGATGGATTTGTGAGTTAAGAAAAGCTCAATTGTTGAAATTAGTTATCCCAATTTATGCGCTGTAATAATAAAATAAATATTAATATACTAAATAATGTAATCTTCTAATATAAAAATAAACTATATATGATATATTTAAATTATAATTAGAATTATAATTTAAGAATAGTATTTAAACTATAATTGTAATTTATTTGTTCTCATCTGGAGATAAATTATTAATATTGAATGAAACGTTAGTGCAAGGAATGTTACAGGTACTTGTAACAAATGAAGTTGCATTATAATTATTACACACTTATAATTAAATTCCGCTATAAAGACATTAACGCTGCAGATTTCTAAAGTTTGTATTTTAATACGAACGAACGAAATAAATTTTAAGTACATGAGAACATTAATTTAAACATTTCAAATACTTTGTCTTATTTCATGCAGTTTTTAATTATACTAATATGAAACTCACGGTTTCAACTCGTTCCTGTAACACTTTATTCGTAGTGACTCGGGAATGTTTGAAAAATAGAAAGGTATTTCCACTACTTCGTTTTCGTACAAGTTTCATATCAGTAAAGTGAATGGAGGATGAATCTGTAGCTACGGTGTACCACACTTTCCTGCTGTTAGGGATCTAAAGTAAATTCTGCTGTGTTTTGTTCTAAATTCAAATTATTATATGAATCTAATTAATTCAAGTTATTATATGAAATCTGATTAATTACTATCAGACTGTTTTATTTAAATGAACGAACGTATATATGATCTTACATACGTGTAAATTCATTTAGAAGATTTAAAATAATTCTCAAACTCAGATGACAGATGATTACAACAACTTGCAATATATTAGGGAGGAAAAAATCATTAAACTTTTTTCATATTATTATATATACCTCTTGAGACAAATATTTACGAATTTAAAATGTGACGAAATTGAAAAACTGTGTAAAGTGTAAATTTCTGTAACTTCGAATACTTATCAGATAATTTAACTTTGACGTATTTGAGTGAATTTATAACTAGAAGAGAGCAGAACAAAATTTTCCATAAAAAAAAATAAAAGGAAAGAAAGATCCAATATATTCCGAACACGGATCCGTATATTTATATATTTTATGTAAACCAACCGAAGTTCAAACTGTTGACGACAATAGTTTTCAATTATATTTATATATATAATATCCAATTTCAATGTAATATTCAAATGGATATATATAATATCAATAGATTTCAAACTCACTGTACGTAGGAGTACACTGGTCTACAATTAGAAATACGTATGAAAGTGGAACATATAGTTTTTTTCTATTATCAATTAAACAAATAACATTCATACTGTTAATAACCTACATTATCCAATATTTCGGGGTCAAATTGACAACAAAGAATTTAACATAATTATTCGCCTTTCTCTTCTGGAAGAGCAAATGAAATCGTGTTACTTTCTTATTCTAAAAATATATAATTACAGAAAAATTCGATTAATTTATTCAACAAAAAGATATTCAGCGAAACTGCAAATTTTACAAATGTATTAAATTGATCAAACGTATAAAGATATTAACCCATCGTTTCAATAGTAAATAGTGCAACATTTTTGACTATTATAAGACTGAAGCTTAGCATTAAAATTGCTGATGTTTAAGACTAAAATTTATACGACAGAAATTAAAATGCCAAGAACAGAGATAAATTTATGATACATATGTTATACAAATAGTAGGAGTTTCTGATATTATTTGGATTTAAGTTAATAAAATATTTATGTCCATATGCTTAT